TTGACTCATCACATATATATATATTTTACCATTCATCATCATTTATTAAAATTTCACTTTAGCTGCCATATTAAAAATGTTACAGGCTATTGCTTTATGCTTTGTACATACATTTTGTGATTAGAAATTTATTACACGCCAGTGGCGGCTCGTCAGGTGACGCAAGTGACGCACCGCTTCACCTAAAATTTCCGTTTGTTTGTGCAATTTAAAATTAATTTTAATTTTATATAAATTTTATAATTTAGGTATAATTCTATATTGAAAATGTATTATCTTTGTTTGTTTAATACGCAGAAATAAACAGAATAGTGCACGATTATAACTGTTCTTAGTTAATATTTGTTTTGTATAATAATTGTAGAAATATTTTATATGTATGATCCAGTACGTATTTTATTGGAAACGCCATTTTCCAGATGGAAAATTGAGGACAAAAAGAATTTTTTAAATTGCGAAAGACCTGTGCAATGTCGATATGGAAAAAAGGGGAAGTCAAAAGACAACGTTTACGTTCGAAAGTATCGGAATGAATGGTATTAGGAGTATATGTGGTTCTGTGCCTTCTCTCGATATGGAAAAAAGGGGAAGTCAAAAGACAACGTGTACGTTCGAAAGTTTCGGAATGAATGGTATTAGGAGTGTAAGTGGTTGACTGGTTGTGTGGAAGTGTTCATTTAAAAAAACTTTTCTGTATGCCGTGTGTGTGTAATAGGCTATTGATTATATCCAAAAAAACAAAGTTAAAAGGAACTATGACGTTCAAGCATTTTTATTGCATGAATCTTTCAAAGGGTAATTTTAGATGAAAAAAAACGCAGAGTGCTATTAAATTAGAGGGTGGAAATTGGAGATGAAAATGCACCCCTTTCAGTTTTTTAATTGTAGCTCGAAAACGAAGCAAAATTTCGCTATAGTTTATAGCAAAAATTATTTAGAGAATTAAATTTCCTATGGAAAAGCTTATTTAAAAAATTTAAAAGGAAAATTTTATGCAAAAAGTCGTTGATGAACCATTTGAAAAAAAAGGAAGAAATCCGATTTTCTGATTTTTTTTTACTTTTTTGCCTCTAGTTTTTTTTTTAATAAAGATAGGTATTGCTTCATAGAAAAAAAGTAGATAACATTTTCTTCAAAACAAGAGGTTGTAAAGTATTTTTGGATGAAAATTGATGGCCGCTCAAACTTAGCCAATTTTTCGATTTTCGTCGTGTTTACCCTTATACGTTTTAATTCTCATTTTTTTGCAAAAAAGGAAGGAAATAAGACGTTCAAGAATTTTCATCACGAGTTGTTCGAAGGGTCATTAAAAATTAAAAAATCACGGGGTGCTATTAAATTAGAGGGTTGAAATTGAAGATAGGGGTGAAAATACACTTTTACAGTATTTTAAATATAGGTCGAACGAAATTTTATAGAGAATTGAATTTCTCATCGAAATGGCTTATTTAAAAAATGTAAAACGAAAATTTTATGCAAAAAATCATTAACAACAATTTTAAAGAAAGCAAAAATAAGATTTTTTGATTTATTTTTAGTTTTTTAATAAAATAATATAGTAAAAACTTGAGAATTTAAGTACAATAAACTTTATTAATAATGTATATACAGTGTGTCCACGGATGGAGTTCAAGACTCTTTTGTTTTTGACTATCGAAAAATGTCACTCTTTATAAAAAGTTCTGCCTCTCGAAAAATGAGATTGTCATACAAACGTATCTTACATTAGATATACAGGGTGCTCATAAATTAAAAAAACGCGAAGTTACTCAAGAGAGAAGTACCATATTTTATTATTTTACACAACATTTTTTTAAAACAAGTCTGTTTATAACCTCAAATAATGTCCTAATACAAATTTTAAAATCAAAATATCAATTTTTGAGGTGGGAAGTAGGTAGATATACATATAGAGTAAAAGTCAGAGCTATACCAAAATTTTGCTTCGTTTTCGTGCTATAAGTATTTAAAAAACTGCAAAAGTACATTTTCACCCCTATCTTCAATTTCAACCCTCTAATTTAATAGTACCCCGCCGTTCTAAATCTAAATGAAAATCCTTCTCACGAACGTCAGTTTTTTGGTAATATT